GGATTCCATCTTCAACAATAATAATAAATTAGGTGTTTGAACCTCAGAGCTGAAAGCAAAGCTGTGCAAGCCCGACATCAAAATCACGACGGCACGCAAAACAACACAAGAGAACAAGACATTTTCATCGGCTTCTATCATGCCGAAAAGTACAAGCGCGAAGAATCACGCACAAGGAAACAAAAATCATGAAAAACGACTAAGTATAACCAGAGATACGGCCATTTGAACCACTAGACACATAAAAAGGCAGTCACACATCACAACTACAAGCCATCACAGCACAAACATAAAAAACACCACGGCACGCTCACATACAACAAGAGACAGCGTCGGGTTGAAAAGGCAACCGACCACAGAAAGAAAAGTCATCATACAAAGGACTTTACAAAAATTCAGCAAAAATACCACACAAATACAGTATAAATAAACACAAATACAGTCAAAATCAAAGTAAAATTAAAACAAAAATACAAGTCAAGCCATCAAAAGATCACAACGAGAACCACCTAGGGAGCAACAGGTGCACACAGGGATCCCCACAGAGGGACCCCCGAGACGGTGCCTACCTACGACGAGCGCAGGCAGGCACCGCCAAAGTGGCGCTGGATGTGGTCAGCGTTCATCTGATGGACCAGCGCCGCAAAGCGACCCTTCCACCGAGGAACAAAGGCCTCATCCAGCCCCGGCTGGTACACACCACGGGCCTCGGCGCAGCGGGCGAGCTGACCAAGCAGATCCACAAAGGAGGAGGCGAACCCACCGGTTGTCGTCATCGCCGCAGGGACGATCAGAGTTTTTCCATGGTTGAAACCGGTGTAGTAGTCGCGCTTCTCCTTTTCGGCTCGGCGAAGGGCAGCGCCCACCTTGATGCAGGCTTGCGAGGTGGTCGGGGGTTGGGCTGAGCAGGCGGCCCATCTCGTCGCGAAGGGCGTTGTGTCGCTTGATGGGACGGCAGGTCAGCAGGTGCTCGCGGGTCAGTCGCGGCTGGGGTGTCTTGCTGCTGCAGAGCGGGCACTTGTCCGTCGGCTTGACGTTGATGAGTTCATGGAGGCCAAAACCCATCATGGACACGACCGCAATGGCAAAGGTCGTGTCGCTC